GGGTGGCCTTGGGTGAGAAGCTCCATTTGCATTGATAGATGGCCAAAGTAAAAGTGTGTTTAATTCTTTGTGTAAAGTCAGTTAGTTTTAGCTAAATTCAGTATCATTTCATAACTTCTCTTGTCAATCCTCATATTATGAAATGGATCTACCTAATATTCTTTGAGGAAATCATTTTCACCTGATAATACCACACCATATGCTTGACAAACATGAAATGTCTGTAACTAGCTGATCCTTCGGTAAGGAAGGAATCCCAATCTGGAAACTTTGTTGTAATGAGTAGCAAGAACAGATTAAACCAAAACCCAATTGACCAAACTCTAGAACATGTAAATCGTGTTGGAAAATTTCTGGAGGCTAAGTGGGTATAACTAAAACAGATACTGAAAGAGACAGATGGTATCTAACTAATGAAGATAATACCCAACTAGATGAATAAACAAAGGCAATGTTTATACTGCTAAAAAATGAGGTAATTACTTGTGATTGGTTAGAAAAAATATCAAGCCCCAGCAGAATATGAAGAGATAAAGATGATTTCCAAAAAAAATGTGATAGAACAGTTAGAGATAATTAATGTTCTAGAGAGAGAGAAGATTTACATTACAACATGAGATGTTGCCATGTGAGAAACTCGGAGATACAGGCAACTGCTTAGAGAGGGGTTCTTCGGTCTCCTCAATTTCGGGGTTTCGAGTGGTGTTATCCGATATATTCCGTTTTTCCTACTTACGCAGGGTCTCTGCTTTTGCTGTCCTTTCCATGTTGATCTGTTTCTTCTGACTCCATCAGCCGGGAGAGGGGCATCCGTCACTCGTAGACTGGGACATTAACGTGGTCCTTCATGCCCTCACTTTACCTCTGTTTGACCTCTGTCTATGTTCCCTGTTTCACCTTTCTTTGAAGCCTGCAGGCATCGTCGGTTGGATATTTTTGCCCAACGTTACCAGGACCTTGTACTATTCCTCCTACTTTATCGAGATCATGCTATCCTTCCCAAGACCTCTGCGGCTCGAGAAGGTCAATCTGCCTTTTACCCTAGCTACCTATCCTCGATATCTCATCTCTACCCTTGTCCTGATTTGGATAACTTCTCT